CGCACGCACGCACGCACGCACGCACGCACGCACGCACGCACGCACGCACGCACACACACACACACACACACACACACACACACACCCTGTTCTGTGAATGGTTTGCTAACAAGGATACTTTTCTGACCTGGCTGCTACATACATTGTGAAACCAGATAGCAGAAAGAGGCAATAGAACTTAAAAATTAAATGCAACATTGTGGCTTCTACCAATGCTTGCTTTCCTTTGTGTCATCCACCCACCCAGACACCTCTCAGAAGAATTGGTTAGATATGTTACCATGACAGAGAAGGAAAGTAAGTTTTCATTCTAATGGAGAATTCTACTCAACAGCGCTGTTTTATTCTATGAATGGATACAAGAAAGGTAAAATTCAGTTTGAGCATCACTGATAGATTTTTTTCTGTTTCCCTAAAAAAATCTTACTATCTGATCTGCAAAGGTGTCAGTTAATTCTCTCCACAGGCACATGCGCTGCGTTAAAGGTGTTTCAGAAGCCTTAGAGCTCTTTCTGCAAATGTTTGTTCCTTTATGGTTACATCAAACATCCTTCCAAAAGTTCAAACACAAACGCTCAGGCTTTTCAGCAGACCTTGCTGTCTTATTGTACAACCCACAGCCTAAAGAAATGACATTTTAAGCTGTAAATTATAACATTAAACATATATGCACATCTATAGCTACTGCTGTCCTCCCTGAATGCCTCCTGTTTTCATGTCCTGATCCAGATTCACTACAATTATGTGCAATGGCTTCCTTTACATTGCCACACTGTTCATTGCATTATTAATGGCTCAGCATGGCACCTAAGTGCTTGCTGGAGGAAATGCATCTTCCAACCAGGCATTTAAGTACCTGACTGCAGAGCCAGAAATTGTGAGTTCAATTCTCCAGTGTGCCTCAAGCCTGTGTGGCCTTGAGGGAGCTGCACAGTCCCAGGGTATGTGCAGAAGAAGGGAATGGTAAGTCACTTCTGATTATTCTCTAGCTGGAAACCCTTGAAAGGAGTTGCCATAAATGAGAACTGACTTGACAATACATGACGAGGAGGAGGAGGAGGAAGAAACTGTTTTTAAGTTTGAACTTTGTGCTATTCCCACCAAAAGCCAGCAGAGCTAAAAATATGCAAGTAAGCAAGATACATTAATTGGCTTACAAAAAGGCAAGGATACTGTAGCCTTTTTACAAAGGCTTCAGTGTCTACAAAGCAATAAGACACCATCAATAAATCCTGCTTGTTGGTTTTCGAATATACGAGTCAAGAAACAAACAAAGAATCTTTCAGAGTGTAAAGGCTATAGTAACTATCTCTAGGATTTTTAGCATGCTTGCTATCTTGAGGCAAAATTCAGTGACTCAATTATTTATCTGCTGCTCCTGTCTATGTATCTCATATATATCCACAACCTCTTTCCACCTAACCTGAATGTGCTTGCATTGACAAGGTCCTAATGATTACATTCATTGAAGGTTCTACATAAATGACTACTCAAGGGACCAAGTCAGGCCACCACCCCCCTAGACACTAAGGCCAAGATCCTGTTGAGGAAATGCAGAATGGAGGAACAAACACCCAACTGCTTCCCTGCTCAAACAGTCTCTCCTTCATATGACCGATCATGTACTAACTGCAAAAATGGATGCACGACAAGATGAGCAACTGGCTGTGCAAAGGACAGCATGCCAGAAGGTAGACAGCTTGTGCCCTTATTTGTGCAGTTTATCCCAACACGATTATGATCAAACATACATTTGTTGTTATGTGCCACCAAATCAGAACAGATTTATAGGACCCTATTAGGGCTTTTGAGGTAAATGAGGAAGGAGGGTTTTACCAGGTCTACCCTTCAGCAAGTTTCCATGCCAGAGCTGGAGAATCAAACCCAGGTTGTCCGAGTCCTAGTTCATTACTGTACAGTGGGGTCTCTACTTAAGAACTTAATCCGTATTGGAAGGTGGTTCTCAAGCTGAAAAGTTCTTATGTTGAATCTGCATTTCCCACAGGAATGCATTGAAAACCATTTAATCCGTATCTGCTCTTTTCCGTCCATAGAAACTACTGTGGAACCTCTACTTAAGAACTTAATCCGTTTTGGAATGGTGTTCTTAAGTTGAAACGTTCTTAAGTTGAAGCAAAATTTCCCATAGGAATGGACTGAAAACCCATTAATCCATTCTGGCTGTTTTTTTGTTATGAAGAAGAGCGTTCGTACATTAAAGCATTAGTTCCCATAGGAACTAATGTAAAGCTGGTTAATACGTACTCTACCACTAGGGGGAGAATTTTTTTAACCTAAGATGACCTAAGGTCTAAAAAAAGAGCGGGAAAGTTTTTTTTTCCTGTTCTTATCTTGGATTTCTGTTCTCAAGTAGAAGGAAAATTTAGCAAATGGAGCTGTTCTTAAGTTGGATTGTTCTTAAGTAGGGACGTTCTTAAGTAGAGACCCCACTGTATCACATCATACTAGTTACCTACCTAACAGACATACTGTGCCACAAATCATTATGAGCTTTATGCTACAAACCTGTGTATATCCACTAGAATTTAATTCCAAGACAGCTCAAAAGGTGTTGCTTCCAAGTAAAATTGCTCATCAATGTCGCTCATCTTTTTACATCTATAAGTGACAAGAGTTCCAAACAACTGGAATTTCAAGTTAACATATAGTCAAAAATTCAGCAAAATTACAAGAGGATCTATAATACAGGAGTTCAGTCACCACAGTACAGAATTATCTGGCTTGGAGTTTACAGAAAGCTCCGGCATGTGGAGTGGAAATGCAGTTGCATGTGTCCTACTGCCACAGTCTGGGTAAAGGCAGTATTGGGAAACTAATCAGGAAGTTGCAACAGCACCTAGGTGCATCATATATATTCCATGACCTACAAAAGCTTCCCAGTCAGACGTGCCTATTGAGAACAGGTCTGCAAAACACACTTGTTTGTATGTTAAGTCACCGAGTCCAACTTACAATAGGGGAACTAACTGAACTACCAGGTACAGTATTCTGTATGTCTAGTCAAAGTATTTGTGTCCTGTTGCTATAGGAGGGCTGGGGGAGGCTACGGAGAACCAAACCAGCCAGAAGCAACATAAGGACATCCCAGGCACTTCCTCTCCTTTCTGGAAGCCCACAGGAAGGAAAGAAGCAGCATGGATAGTTTTTGGGTATCTGTGGTGAAGCCTGGTGGTTTTTGGTCAATGTAGTTTAGTTAAAGGTTATGCTTTTGAGGCAGTCACGAAAGCAGCAAAATCAGGGAGCTAGATGGGGTACAGATTGTATTTGTCTTCAGTGTGGAAGGGATTGTCACTCTCGAATTGGCCTTCTCAGCCACACTAGACGCTGTTCCAAGTCCTCCATGCAGAGCACGATACCATAGTCTCCCGAGATTGAAGGATGCCTATGATGATGATACTTTTGTACCCACTCTGGGGATAACTCTCATTCACTGATATGAGGAAAGAGCTGTTGCCGCCACTCCACTCAGTAAACCAGGAGTTTGGGTGAGGGGGAGGGAGAGCGGTTTCTCTTCCTCCCTTTCCGTGGAGATTTCAGGCGGCTGAAAAGTCCTGAGCCGAGGGAGGAGCCAACCTACCCCCCCAAGGAGACCGATTTCCATCCACCCCCACCATCAGATAAAGGTAAAAAAAATATCCAGCAACAAACCATATGTTCATTTCAGTACTGGCAGACAAATTACGTGTTTACTGAAGAAATCAATCCCGCCACGTTCAAAGTCGCTAAGACTCCCAGCTGTTCTGTGACTTCGACCAATTTGGAAAACAGAAGCGAAGAAATACAGGTGAGTAACAATGGGACTGAGATCCAATGACAGTAAAGGAACGGGAGGGAAATTTAGTAGGGGAAAAATAGTTTTAAGGTGGTTTGTTTCTAATAACAAGCCGCCTTAGCTCCTCGTGAGAAGAAAGGCGCCCGGATGAATACTTAAATAAACAAAGAAACTGGCAGGCGCACGCATGACTTTACATTCGACCAGAGAACTGCCTACGACTTACTGCGCTTGCGCCGTGGCGAGTAACCGAAATCGAGAGACGCATGCGCCTAAGGCCTCCCCACCAATAGGACACTGGCCAGCGAAGGCCTTTCTTACCAACGCCAGCTTAAGCTCCGGATGATGAGGTACGGCCGTTCTGACGTGTCTCGCGGATCCCGAGTAAGTAAAACAAACGGCCTTAGTTACAGCGTTCCTTGTTTTCCCATCCCCGCCGCCAGTACAACTCCGTCTTTACCCCACTCAAGCCCCATCGCTTTGAACTTACTGTGAATGGGAATACCACGACGCCGGCGGAGAAATCGTGCGTGCGCGCACTCGAGAAATGGGCGCGCCCTAAATACGTAGAAACTCGGCGGCGAGGATCGAGAGGTCTGTGGGAACCATGGCAACGGAGAGGCGGCGGGGTAGGGGTGGGTCTGCGAAGCGTGCCCAGTGGGTGGAAATCTGATATACTGTATTTACGTAGTTCTTGTTATTATAATAGCAACAAACCATGGTTTATTAAGGTGTTGTTAAGATGGCGATTAAAGCTAAAGTTCGAGGCAACAATCCTGTTGAATATCTGGCCGGAGGAGTCATCTTCCTTGCTTTATACAGGATTCTTGTATTTTTAATAGACTGAAATTCTAACATGTAAAGCTGGCACCTTACTATATTGCCATCGTCATGGGCCCATACCTTTTTGCTGATGTGGGATGTAAAAAAGATATGAGATGTAACTGATAGTTTGCACACAACAGTTTCAAGGGGTATGATAAAAAAAAAGCCCACTCAGAGTATTAATTGTATTCCTCCTTTGTGTGTGCTTGTCCCAGCAGTTGAAAATAAACTTGACAGTTATGCTTATATTATTTATTTATTTATTTATTGGACTTATATACCGCCCCATAGTGCTACACTTACTCTAATAAACTAAATCTCATATAGTATAACATATCTAACAGACTATGTCCTACTACATTTTTAGCCCTATCACATGTTATGGCTGTATTTAAGAGAATGCTAACTGATGCTTGCATTGTATATCTACCTGGCTGCTGGGAGACACATTCTGATTGGTCAGAATATTTCACTATGCAGATATCACATTCTAGTCCTTTCCATACAAGCACACACACACACACACACACACACACACAAAATTGTTACAATACATATACCATGTATTGTAACAATTATATTTTCTAACAGCGCTGAAGCAGAATTCATAATGCAACACCAGAACCACCATGCTTGTTTTCTGTAATAAATACTGATTCTGCATCGTAGAGTCTATAGTGCAGTAGCTTGTAACATGTCTAGAGGCAAAGAAGGGAATATGAGCTGGCACAACTTTTCTCAGTCGTTCACAAAAGTTTCACCTGCCAATTTTTTTTACTTTACAAACTGTTACAGTAGCTGAACTTCAAATTAGCTACTCATTTGCTGTTTTTCTCTTTTCTCTCCACACTTGATGTTTTGTGGGAGAGGAGCTCCTGTCTGAATGCTTCTGTTTTCCTTTAACATGGCTCAGATGTTGTGAATGCTAGTTTGAGCACAAAAACATTTTTATTAGCCACAACAGGTTAGGGCATATGCTTTCTCTGTATTCAGAAGCATTAAGTCTCTTAATTACCAGATGCTTCAATAAGCAATGCAAGGATTACTACCTTTATTGTCCCTTGTTTCTGAGTTTTCCCGATGTTATTGACTGCTCTTGGAGACAATGTGTTACCTAATTCTGAATAAGTGATTCTCATAAAGTTATTGAGAAAAACATATAAAAGGGATTTGAAGAGCATGTCTGGATCAGATCACAGGCCAAACTAGTCCAAATTGCTGCTTGGTACAGTAGCCAGCTACTGCTGGGCCTGGCATGTTCTGGTCCATGGGGTCACGAAGAGATTTAATGACTAAACAACAACAACAGTGGCCAACCAGTTGCTTAAACTCTGACTATTGCAGCAGAAGTCACTGATGCCGTTTCATTCAAAACAACTGACAAAATATATACAGGTAATATATTTTCTGTGGGAAATTCTGTTTCTTTCAGTAAACCACAGTTATTAGAAGAGAATACACAATGGATATTCTACGACCAACACTTATAAAAATTGGAGGACGTATTTACCGGAAGAACCATGTTCGAGAGCAGGCTCACCAGCATGAAGAGGAGGAAGATTTCTGTGCAGGTATGATAATAATGCACAGAGTTCCATTTACTAAGACTCTGGTGTCTCTTTGTTATGTCAGATCTACATGAGGACTCAAAAAGAATTTATCAATATGGATGACATGATTCTCAAGATACTTTCCAGCATCAAGATTCATCCTGCCTCCTGCCTATGTGAACTCAACATAGTAAAAATACAAATGCTAAGTCCACTGTCTGGTGCCCTGCCTATTCATTGGACTACATTTCTTATCACCACACAGACCATGTAGGCTGGGAATTATGCATCCTGTACACACCTGTAGGTCATTGAGTTATGAAAGCTCTTTTAGATGGCTCTCTGTGAAAAAGAGCTGCCTTGGGCCCCTTTTAAAGAGAATGGTGGGATAAAAATATTTTAAATAAATAAATAAAACTTTCAATCATGTGAAGATCTGTATAAGTGAGAGATAGTCCATGGACTTTGATTGGTTTCACAGCTCCTGATATCCAGTTAGCCATATTGGATTACATGTTTGCTGTGACTCTGGGTAGCTCCTGCCATTTAGTATAGACTAGAAATATAAATCTTACAGTTTCTCAATCTTGACAAGAAGCTGAGAAGAGGGAATTTCTGTTGCAGTGAGTTTTATCTATTTAGTCTCTAAGCATGTGAATTCGTGTTTTGTTTTTGAACTTCCAATCTTAGAATCAACCATTCTGGAAATTTTATCTGCCAGACAGAAACCTAAATTGTCCTCAGCCTTTCTGCAATTGAGCATATTTTACATTTTGGCAGCTGGCACTCCCAGCGAATTCTTGGATTTGGAATTCAGACAAACAAATAAAAAATGAATTGACAGACCTAGCAGCTTCTGGAAACATGCTTTTTCTTCCCTGAGAAGCATTGTGATAATCTTTTTCTGGAAGAAACACCATCTCTTCAGAGTTTTTACAGTTGTTCCTGTGCAGAATGGTACTTTTTGTGTGCAGGAGTCCCTGGAAAAGTGATTGAGCTGTGAAGGATTTGAAGTTTCTTGTGCAAAAAGCAGGTGGAGGAGGAAAAGAGGCAAATGAGAACAGGTGTCTCATTTTTTCAGGAAGCCAAGAGACTTTGCTAGTGCAGAGAGAATTCCTGGTGAAAGTCTCAGCATAGCCAGACTTAGAAAACCACCAAGAGCAAGACATGTTTCATGTACTGTCCACATCCATAGGGTAAACAGTACTGGATCTGGTATTCACTGCTTTTTATGGTTTCTTAAGCAGAAATTTGTATGATTGGGGTCAAATAGATCTCCACATGGCTATTTTGTAACTTACGTTCAAGAGACAATAAAAAGTAAGGAAAGCACTGCTCAGAGCTGCTTTCTGATGAATTCTGCAAAATAGTATTGTGTTGATTTTAAAATGGGTAGAAATAAAAAAACTGTTGCACATAGAGCTTATGTTCTTTATTCAGCTTTGAGACCACATGGTAGTTGGACTGTATTGATAAGCCACTTTTCTATTTGATCCATATTTTTTAGTTCCAGATGATGGTGCAGATGAGCCATGTGATGCCTTTGTGGTAGAACAGACAGATAGAGGTTACCAATGTACTGTGGACATTCCCAGCCCACTTTACAAGTGAGTCTATTGGTGTGTGTTCAAAATTGTTTTACATATAAATGGAGTTATTTTGTTTTGCTTTGTTTTTTGTAATACATGATTTATTTTATTTTTTATTTATTTATTTGATTTTTACCCCATCCCTCTAGACCATGTCTACTTGGGGCAGCTTACAAAATAAAACAGAACAGTATAAAAATATATAAAATCATAAAATTACAATTACAATTTCAATTTAAAACAATTAATTTAAAGAGAGGATTACCAAGATGGAATAGCAAAGAAAAGAAAAAAGGAGAAAGACTTAATTGACTGGAGGGAAGGCCTGCTTGAATAA